TGAATATAAACATGAGCAACTTTTTCCTGAATGCATCTCCTCGAGCAGGGGAAACAAAATAAAAAATGAACAAGTGGGACTACATCAAGCTAAAAAGCTTCTGTACAGCAAAGGACACCATCGATAGAACAAAAAGGCATCCTACAGTATAGGAGAATATATTCATAAATGACATATCCAACAAGGGGTTAACATCCAAAATATATAAAGAACTCACACACCTCAATACCCAAAAAGCAAATAACCCTATTAAAAAATGGGCAGAGGATATGAACAGACACTTCTCCAAAGAAGAAATTCAGATGGCCAACAGGCACATGAAAAGATGCTCCACATCACTAATTATCAGGGAAATGCAAATTAAAACCGTAATGAGATTTCACCTCACCCCAGTAAGGATGGCCAACATCCAAAAGAAAAGAAACAATAAATGCTGGCAAGGATGTGGAGAAAAGGGAACCCTCCTACACTGTTGGTGGGAACGTAAATTAGTTCAACCATTGTAGCAAGCAATATGGAGGTTCCTCAAAAAGCTAAAAATATAAATACCATTTGACTCAGGAATTCCACTCCTAGGAATTTACCTGAAGAAAACAGTATGTCTAATTCAAAAAGACATATGCACCTCTATGTTTATCGCAGCACTATTTACAATAGCCACGATACGGAAGAAACATAAGTGTCCATCAGTAGATGACTGGATAAAGATGTGGGACACATACACAATGGAATATTACTCAGCCATGAAAAGAAAACAAATCCTAACATTTGCAACAACATGGATGGAGCTAGAGGGTATTATGCTCAGTGAAATAAGTTAGGCAGAGAAAGACAAGTACCAGATGATTTCCTTCATTTGTGGAGTATAACAATGAAGCAAAACTGAAGGAACAAAACAGCAGCAGACTCACAGACTCCAAGAAGGGACTAGCAGGTGGGGAGGTTGGGTGGGGAGGTATGGAAAGGGGATTAAGGGGCATTATGATTAGCACACACAATGTAGGGGGCTCATGGGGAAGGCAGTATAGCATGAAGACAAGTAGTGACTCTGTGGCATCTTACTACACTAATGGACAGTGACTGCAATGAGGTATGGGGGGGACTTGATAATATGGGTGAATGTTGAAACCACAATGTTGTTCATGTGCAACCTTCATAAGATTGTATATCAAATACACATTAAAAAAATCACTGTGGGCTTGACTAGTTTTAGAAGGCTCCATGTAAGAGTTGTGACTCAAGCTGTACCTCAGGGAGAAGAGGATTCAGACACATGAATATTTAGTCAACAAAATCCTACCATGGGACAACTAAGTGCTGGGGTTTCAGAAAGGAACCAGGTCCAGTCATTGCTCCCCTGGTCTGATGGTCTAAATCCAGGTTTAAGACGGACGGCACAGAGAGTGGGTAGGAAGACTCTATGGGAGCCGGAGAACAGCTCCAACTCAGCTGCAGGGAGGCTGGAGCGGCGGTAAACTTCAAGAGAGTGACATGAAGCATGAATGACATGCAGGACAAGCCAGGCAGTACACAAGCTGGGGGTCAGGGAGAAATGTTCCAGGAAGTGGGAATGGTGTGAACAAGAGCCAGAGGGAGGTATCACAGTTGTATGAGTGGACAAAGAAGGGCCTCTGGGAAAGCGGTTTTCTCTAACCATGCAGGGGTGGAGCGAGCAAGAGGACAGGGCGTCTCTGCCCACACGGGGTGGAAGGCCACTTCTAACTCAAAGTCTAAGCATCTCGGCACTTACAGACTTGCACATTACAAGATGATTGTCCATATTTTGGGAGGAATTCAACTGGCAAAGGACTTGGCTTAGGATTATTTTAAAAATAAACAGTGGATTTCAAATATGGTTTGATCCACATTAAACTCAGACAATTTTCAAGGACACATCTACTACAAAAAAAAAAAAAAAAGGTTACCACACTGGAAAAGATTATCTGAATTATCTAAAACAGATCTGATTTAATAATAATTTTGACCAAGGACACAGTTCACCATGACTTACTTCTTTGATGTGATTATAGGCATGTCTGTCTTTGTATCTGTAACAACAAAGAAGTTCTATCAGTTCAGACAAATTTTCCTTAAGAGGAAGAAATACTGAAAACCTAGAAAAGACAGAGAATTTCAAGATTCACAAATCACACATCTGGGAGGCTGGTTAATCCTGTCCAACCAGTAGGGGTGAACATGTGCCTCCACGGAACCACTCCCTCCCCCCACACCAACCACAGTGCCGCTGGACGCTGACGTGACCTCGGGATCCTTCCCGATGCTCAGCTGGGCAGCGACAGCACGTGAGAAGGCTCTGTGCCACCTCTGAATGCTCATGCCCCCAACTTTCAGCTGAGAATATGGAGGCCCCAGGGTCACACACATCCCCCCACTCTCTCGTGCTCTTGAAAGCATCTTCCGTGGAAGCTCCTCACGTGGGCCTCAAAAGGGTTGTCAGGGCAAATCTCACGGCTGTTAGGTTTGGGTATGGATCTGGGAGTTCTGGGCTCTAGTTCTAGCTCTGGGCACCTGGATGGATGAGGCTTTCCACCTAAAATGTTTACTGGGTCACCAAAAGGTGTGGGGTTTGTTCCTGGTCCTCCCTGATCCTGCCTTTGGGCAAGTCGTTTCCCCTTTCCTGAACTCAGCCTCCCCTTTGTGCATTAAGGGCTCGGAATAGATCATGTTCAACTTTAAAACACCAGTTAAATGAGTCTGCAGACTCCTGTCTCCTAGGAATTTGTCAGTTTCCTATGTCATGACTTCCCTCCTCTGATAATTAAACAATAAATGACAATTTAGCAAGTTTTAGTGACAGCCTCTCATGTGCCACCACTAGAGAAACAGATGTAATAAAGCAAACCCCCTCTCCTGGAGACACAGTCTAGCTGTGGAGACAGACCAGAAATGACTGATTCTAACCCAAGCTGATACATGATGAAGTAAAGTTATCATAAAGGTTAACTTTACCTGGGAGAGTTAGGAGAAAACACAAAGGAGGGGGAATAATTGTGCTGGGCTCTGAGGAATGAATGAGTTCACCAGGTAGACCAGGGGAAAGCAGGCAGAGGAAACGACGCACAAAGGCTGAGAGACAGCAAATGCAGGGCAGGTCCCCAGAATGGCAAGAAGCCTAAGGTGGCCACAGTGCCAGCAAGCAGGAGAGGGGATGGAGAGGAGGGTGGAGATGAGGCTGCAGTCAGATTTGGAGAACCTCCCAAATGGACATTTGAGATTCACTTCTTTAGGGCAGCCTACAGCCTTGATTTATTTCTTCAGCATGAATTCATTTCCTTCAAATTTCTTTCAGTATTTAAAACTTAGTTACTACAAAGTTCAAAAAAAGATTCTCAACTGTTAAGATTATCACACCACTTGTAATATATATTTTGTTTTTTCCCCTCAAATATTAGTAACTGCTGGGTGATGGGTATTGACAAGGTCAGCCTGATATTTCCTCTATTTCTCTCTCTTTTTAAAATGCTTACTATGAAAAAATTTCCAAACATACAAAAGTAGAGAGACTAGTAATAAATTCTCATGTTCCCATCACTCAGCTTTAACAATTCATGGCCAATCTTGCTTCATCTGTTCTTCTGCCCACTCCCTCAGGCTCTTGATTATTTTGAAACAGAGCCCTCATATATTATCCCATCTCTAAATAGCTCAGTATGTATTTCTGTATAGACTCTTTAAAAAAAATCATAACCACAATACCATTATCACATTTTAAAAATTAGCTCCTTCAAATCATCCAAAATGTACGCATTGTCTCACAATTTTTCTTTTTTGCAAAGTCCATTTAAATCCTCAAAGGCCTATACATTGCAACTGAACTCATGTATCTTGAGTTGATTCTAATATATGTTTCCCCATCATGCTTTTTCCTCTAAATTCATTTTTTTTGAAAAACTGGGTCCTCCGTTGGGTAGACCTGCCCCAAGTCTTGCTTCAGATGATGACATCCCTACGGTGCTGTCAGGGTGGTGCTGCTAACGGTGGCACAGGCCCGCTGCCATCCCCACACTGTGGACAGTCCAAGAAGAGATGAAGGGCTTGTGCCAACCTTTAAGCAATAGTGTCCCTCAGCACACTGCTTAGTTTCGCTCACCTTGTTTTCACAGCCATATTTTCATGGAGAAGGAAGCTGTAGGTAAGTAGCTAAATGGCTGTAGCTAAAAACAGAGTGGAATCTATTTCTGTTCTGGTACAAAGGTCTTATCCTGCCGCACTTTAGTACTTCGAGCAGCACTGGCTTAGCAGGTTCCTCTGTCCCTTGTGTGTTCTGTGAATTGCTACAACCACACACTTGATCAGATTCAGGCTCAATTTTTTCTCCACATCATAGGTGGTGCTGTGTGTTTCCACTGCAAGACACAAACGTCTCGTCTCTTTTTATGTCATCAGCACTACAGTTGTGCAATGCTTAGATCTAATAATTCATCAGAGGCTGCAAAATGGTGATATTAGTCCTATTATCCCCTCTTTGGTTATTAGCAGGATTCTTCCATAAGGAGTAAATTCTCACTACTTGGTTATCCCAAGAAACAGTTCATGTTTACCAGTTTTCAAAATGATGAATCCACCCAGCTGAAAAGTAAATTTTTTCTGGTATCAGTATGAACTAAAGGACTCAAAAATTTTTGGGAGGTATTATTATGAATGAATGAATTTAAAAATAGACTGTAGTATTATTCTTATTGATACTCAAATATTTCCATCTTTGGCCAGTGGAAGCCTCTTTTAAAACATGCCTAGTAGTTTTTGATAGCTTCTTTGCTTCCTGGTACAAGATATTTCATGTAAAAAATCCTCTTAACCATACCAATGTTATCGCTCTTGCTTTATCACCCAATATACATAACAGTGGTATATCTCAGACTATCAGTACCAAGACTACCATCTAAAAACTGCTGAAAACATGTAAAGATTATTTTTCAGCTTTTTTTCTTGAGAATGTAAGCCAAAGTGATTGCACTGATGGCCCCAATTCTTCAGGTCTTCCACCTGCCAAGTCCCTTGCCTCTGAGCCAATGGCTTATTAGCAAACACGATGCAAGCAGGGGCCTGAAAAGCACCGGCACCCTGGGGCTTGCTCCTGACCCTCCAGCATAACCATGAGAACATGCTTGGGCTAGCCTGCCAGAGGATGACACACGTGGTGCTCCCGCCCCTCATCCCAGGTGCAGCAATGCTAGAGCAGCTGACGGTCAGCCAAGATCAGCCCATCCCACAAGATCCATTACCGGACTAGATCTGTAACTAACCAGACCAATAAGCACATCCAGCGTGGTCAGCAGACCTACCCAGCAAACCTGCAGACTGGTGAGCAGCTGGGTTGCTGTTCAAAGCCACTGGCTTTTGGGGTGGTTTGTTATACAACATTGTGGCAAGAGGTAATGGATATACAGTCTATCTCATTAGGATTAAACCCTCAAATTACCATGTTTTAAAGTCACTCAAAATATTTTCCCCCTTGTGGCTATGCCACCAATTTGATATATAGGTTCCATTTTTTTTTCCTTAAAGGATTATTTAAAAATTTTAACTTTGTTTTGCCATCATGTAATATATTTACAAGGTTCCAAAGTCAGATGTATAATGTCTTGCCTCTTTCTCCAATTCCACCCCTCCTCCATAGGCATTAAAAAAAAAAAGATTGATCCTTTCTTATATTTCACAAGTGTATTTAACCCCCGCAAACCTTTAGATAAACTACAGCACACCATGCAAACTATCCTTTACCTCACTTTCTTCACTTAAAAATATATCCTACTGATCCCTCATTCCTGTCAGCTCCGCAGCACTCCATTATATGAATGCACAGCAGTATATTCAGCTGATGACCCTCTAGTGGATATTTAGGTTGTTTCTAGTCTTGAGCTAAAACTGTAAAACTCTGAGAAGAAAACAGATGGGAAAATCTGCATGAGCTTGGATTTGGCAATTGTTTCCTAAATATAATAACAAGAGCATATGTGAAAAGAATAAAAATAGATAAATTGGACTTTGTTAAAATTAAAAACTTTTACCATTTCACACTCATTAGGATGACTATCATCAAAAACACAAAATGGAAAACAACAAGTATTGACGACGATGTGGAGAAGCTGGACCCTTTTAATAAATCGCTGGTGGGAATTTAGTAAAATAGTGCAGTTGTTAAGGCAGTTTGGCAGTTTCTCAAAAAACTAAAAGAGAATTATTATATGATCCAGCAGGTCCACTCCTACGTATACACTCAAAGGAAATTAAAACATAGGTCCATATAAAAACTTGTACATAAATATTCATAGCAATACTATTCTTAATAGTCAAAACATAGAAACAACCCAAGTGTCCATCTTTGGATGAATGGATAAACAAAACACGGTACATCCATACACTGGATTATTATTCTGGATGAATTTCTGATACATGTGATGACATGGATGAGCCTTGAAAACACTGCCTTATGGAAAGATACAAAGACTCCCTAATATGTGATGCCATTTATATGAAATATCTAGAATAGGCAGCATTATAGACACAGAAAACGTATTACGGTTACTAGTGGTTAGGGGGAGAGGAGGATGGGGGGAAAAAGTAAATGTATATATAATTTGGCTAGACCTCACTAAATTTTCCTCTCTAACGGTTGTACCACTTACACTCCTGCTAGCAGTGCATGAGAGTGCTTCACAGGTCCTCACCAAAGGGGAATACTGTCAAACTTTTGGCTGATACCATCTGATTGCTGAAACGATCTCTCAGTGCAGTTATAATTTGTATTTTTTCTTATAATAAAATGTTTAAAAAAAGTCCTTAATTATGTTTTAGCCTGCTGGTATTGGTTACGTGATTACATGAGACCTCCTTAGAAGAATACACCAGAAGATTTATAAATTAAAGAGAATAACTATACACACTAGTATGTTCTAACAAATACATCTATGTCACAGTTACTGCTGTAGATTCTAATTCCAGAAATAAAATGTAACACCCATTTTACATACAGGGAGCAGGTAGTTAATTCCCAGAGCCCTCCACACACACAGTACTCTGCTAGGCAATGCTTAACAGAAAGGGCAGAATAACACTTTTAGTAATTCCAGAAATTAGATAGAACACATTCTCACCAACCACAAGACCCCTTGCATCATGCTTAAAATTATTCTAGTTTGCTGTTTTTGGCAGTAAAATTGCCAGGGTACATGTTTCTTCTCTAGAATTTTACTACATAATCTGAGGAGTAAGATCAAAAGTGAAAGAAGATGCCCATGTGCCAAAAGAACTGAATGATGCACAAGTTTACCTTTCCATTTGGCAAGCAGCTTAGGATCTGAAACTGTGAAGTTTGGTCGGCTTCGAGACAGGACGCCTTTTCCAAAATAACCCTTATGGGAAGAGAGAAAACAAAGTCAGTTGAGGTTTAGTTATCAACTTTTTAGCTGAGGGTGAAGAATTCTTTAACAAGAGGTTCCTTCCATTTTTTTCACAGCTTTCCATTTTCTCTCTGATTATCTAACGAGTACTAATGAAGATCTTAGCATTTCATGTCTCCGACCACTTGAGGAGTGCTGGTGACTCCAGTCTAGGTCAGTAAGCTGAAGGCAACAGGGCAGGAAGGTGGGGTTCCTTTGACTACGTGTAGGTCGGGAGCAGGGGGACTAAAAGCAGGAGTCAAGTGTTACAGGTACAAAAAGCTTCCTGGATTCTCCTGTACCCGGAATTATGTACTTATTTTCTTCCTGTGAACTCCAAAAACCAACACAGACTTTCCCATTTAAAAAAATGTAAACCCACAGAAAGTTGAAAGAATAATAAACTGAACACCCTTTGCCCTCCACCTGGATTTAACAATCAAGATAAATAATGCATCTAGCACTTCACAAAGCCTCTTGCTTAATGTTCTGTATTGTGCATGTGGAGAGAGAATGCCCATGGCCTAGACCTGTTTCAAGGATCATTGCCACCTACTGCACCCTACTTTGGCAAGGTGGCTGCAACATATATATTTCATATCAAATGTCTGGAGAAGGCACATTTTATGGGGACAGGAAATAGACCAGCAGGTGCCTTGGGCTGGGAGTGGGAGCAAGATTAAGTGCAGCGGGCACAAGGGAACTTGGGTCGTGATGGGAATGCTCTCCAGCTGGATGGTGGTGCCGGTTGCACAACTCTGTGAGAATTGCTGAACTGTACACTTGCCGCGGGTGAATTTTATGGCTCTAAATTATCCCTCAACAAAGCCGTTTAAAAATTGTCCCCAGTGATGAACTGGCTATGGGTGATATGGCTAATTCACCAATTGAGATATGGCTAATCTCAACCCAAATCCATCATTCATGGAAAACATCAAAAACCAGAACTTGTTCTCCTCTAACAACAGGTCCGCAACCAGAACGAGCAGATAAGGAGATAAGCCAACTGAGATATGGTTAATCTCAACCCAAAGCTATAATCAATAGAAAACAGCAAAAACCAGCGCTCGCTCTCATCTAAGAAGAGGTCCCCAGGGAAGAGTGAGCAGAGGGGGAGGTGGAGCACATGCTGAAAGGCTCTTCTGATTTGTCTGTGAGCCAGAATACATGGCCCCGTGGTTATCCCTGGGCACAGAACGGCTGTGACTGGGGAATTTTTACTCTTTACCCACTGCAGGTGTGTAAGCTGCTTGAAATTTTTTGACACAATGAACACACATTGCTTTTATAACTGAAAAACAAGAAAGGCCAATGCACTGGCCCTGCTTCATTGCTGAAATGTGATTGGTGGGTGGGGGGAGTTATCCTCACAATATATGGCTCTGGGGCACCTGATTCAAATTCTACTCTTCCTACACTGGACCAAACTGCAAGGAAAGAATGGTCATTTATGGTCTGTTTTGGGGGTGGATGGAGAAGAGAAAGGATTGTGGGCTCAGGGATGTCAGGAAGTAGCCAGCCAGGCCAAGGCCACCTGCACTTACTCTCCCATACAGCTGCTCAATATCTTCTGTGTTCCTCACAATCACATTGTTGTTTATCATTTCGGCACGGAATATTCTGAAGTCTTTCTTAGGACCACAGTCCTGACCAAAAGGGATCGGTAATGGAGACTCATAATTCTCATACACTCTTCTTTTCCTCTTTGGGGCATGGAAAACTGCTTCAGCCATTTCTCAAGGGTGACTGTTCTTTAAAGGGTATAACAAGGAAAAAGAAACAGACAGTCAATCAATAACTCACCCTGAACAAAAATGCAAATACATTTATTCTTAGGCTCAGAAAACCTTGTGGTCTGTGGAGAAAACATATTATTTACAAAGCAGTGAACTAAAAGACACAGAGTAATGAGAACATTTTGTACCAGTGGTGCAAATCCCATTCACCTGGAACATCTCAATTCCTAAGTGCCTAAGAAGTCAGTGGTTTTCTTTCTAACTATGGCTGACAAAACGGAGGCCTAGCGACTCCAAAGTCATGATGCTACTCAAACGTCTCAATAGGATTTCTGCCTATTACTCAGTCAACGGATACTTACTGTGTACCCACCAGAGGCTCCTAATAATCAGAGGTGCTGGGGATATTAAGGTAAGACTAGAGATACTTCCCTCAAATAATTAATCATGTAAGCACTTCATTTTCCAATAAAGGATTTTAAGATACATTCCAAACATTACGGCAATCATCTCCCAATTTTTAAATTCATTCATTCATTCGACCGAATTTACGTTAATAAATAACAATGATAGCAGCAGTTACTGTTTGAGTGTCTATTATGTACCATGAAATGCAAGTGGCTCAGAGTAGGGACTCTAAAGCCAGAGGGCCGGGATGGCATGCAGCTTCACCATACCTTAGCTGTGAGATTTTGGGTACAAGTTACTTGATCTCTCTGTGCTTTGGTTTCATGTGCAACATAAGGATAGACTACCTTATACAGGCACACCCCATTTTATTGCACTTAGCAGACACCTGTGGTTTTTGCAAGCTGAAGGTTTGTGGCAACTCTGGGTTGAGCACATCTATCTATTGGCACTATTTTCCAATAGCATTTGCTCACTTCATGTCTGTGTCACATTTTGATAATTCCTGCATTATTTCAAACCTTTTCATTTTATTATGGTGATCTGTGATCAATGATGATTTGCTGAAAACTCAGATGACTGTAAGCATTTTTTAGCAATAAGTATTTTTTAATTAAGGTATGTACATTGTTTTTTCAGACATAACATCATTGCACACTTAATAGACTATTTTATATGCACTGGGAAACCAAAAAATTCGTTTGACTTGCTTTATTGTGGTATTTACTTTACTGCAGTGATCTGGAACTGAATGCACAATATCTCTGAGGTATGCCTGTAGTTAAGACCCATTAACATGCTTAGAACAGTACCTGGCACTGTGCATGTTTGCAAATAATAATATCTGCTAAAATTATTATGGGGTGAGCAGTACCAACACTGCTTCACAGGTGAGGAAACAGATTCAGGTTGGAGAGATTTTGTGAAAGGCCTGGGAGACTGGTGGCACTGGATGATGGACCCCACGTCTGCTGAACCCAAAGCCCTGCTCTTCTCTCTGGCTCCTGCTGCAAACACAGGCTGCATCTGTCCATTTCTGTCTGAAGGCTTACTACTTCTCATGTTAGACACAGGCTGATGGGTTATGTTTAATTATGGAATTACTGTGCACCCAGCACTGTGAAGGAGTAAAGAAAGCAGAAGTTAGGTCCTCTCCCTTCCAAGCCTTACACTCAACCTGGGAAGATAAAACAAGCACATTAATGCACATGAAGCAAGCTAGAGATACCACCGGGCTGCAACTGAATAATAGCTAAAGGAAAGAAGTCAAGTTGAGTGCAGCATGCAATGAAGACAGCAAGCCACTCTGGATGCACTTCACTCAGGAAAGCTCGGCCATACACAAGGGGAAAACAAGGTAAGCAGTGCAAGAGACTGGCCTGCTGCTCCACTCAAAGAGATGTCCTAGAGTAAGACAGGACACTTGAATCCACTGCTCCCTTGGCCCTGGGGCTGGACTCGACTTAAGCTTAGCATGTACCAGGTGCTTGAAGATACAGTGGAGCCATACTACCCATGTTTAACCTATGTGGCTCCAAGCCCTTGCAAGGGAAAAAGGAAGACTGACTATTTAGGTGCCTCTTGCACTCCTAACAGCATCCAGCCTGGCAAAGGAGGTAATCAAGCCTGAGAGAACCAATGAAGATGGCCAACCTGAGGAAGAAGTGTGAGTGGCTTTAAGGGTTCATGACCATTAACAAGAAATTAACAGTCTTGTCCACTGTGTGATACTTTTATCTACCCTCTCAAAGAAGCTGAGGAATTAAATGGGGACAAAGAATAACATAGACCAAGGAAGAGCCAGAAAAACTGATAAACCAATTACAAAGCTAACCATGAAAAATAAGCATCAGCAATTTGGAATCTTCAGAGAATTGCCAAGGTATTCCCAGAAGCAAAATGCTAGAATTTAATTTCTAAATAAGATCTCCTAACAGAATTACATACTGAGCATGATTATATACATTACACACATACATGCACAGGTATTGCTGTATAGCATTAATAAAACCAGGTATACCGCATGTTAATGGGCAAGTAAGAGATTTTCTTCCGGGGTTATTTTAACTAGATTTTCACTTGCTAGGTTATCCATAAACCCAAGCCAACTACTGCATTTAGTACTCAAGAAGCTGGAAAAAAACCCCAGCAATTCATTCTAAAACTTAAACAATACTATGTTGGCTCTTTTGAGGCAGAATGTTGGTCTCTATGGTGAGGGACTTTCTAGGGATTTCCTGGAACAATTTAGACTTTATGAGGCTTTCCCTTTTATTAACTTAACTGCTGGTTAGTACTTGACTTGTAATACATTATTACATTTGGAATTTTAAAAGAAGAGACATTGTTTAGTGGCTAACTTCAAGAACTTCCAATTAAATTCTCTCAAAGAAGCAAAAATGAAAAGTTCTATTTTAATTTGCCTGGTTTGTTTGGGATTTTTCCTTTCAGATTGCTGTTTATGCCCTAAAAAAGGCAAGAATGAGCTATGACACTTGATAGTAACATTCTGCACTGTAACCCAAGTGTGTGTAATAGAAGGGTTCCTGCCCCAAATACTTTTTTCACAAAACCTCAAAATCCAAGCTCTCGTGTTACCTCTAACCACGTGAAAGCACGCACATGAAGAATTTGGCTTGTAGCAGGCCTATTTACGCAAAACTGCCTTTATGTGACCTTGCACCATTCATTGAGTCCAGTCAGTTTCATCTTCAAATAGAACAGGACTGAAAAACAGTCTGCAAGCTACTCAGATATTAAACAGAGTAATTATCTGATCCAGCAATTCCACTGCAAGGTAAAGATACAAGAAAACTGAAAACAGGTTCACTTAAGAAATTTGTACACAAATGTTTACAGCAGCATTATTCATAACAGGCAACAAGTGGGAACCCAAATGTTCATCAAAGATGAAAAATGTATCAACAAAATGTGGTCTGTCCGTATAGTAGAATACTATCAACAATAATAAAGGAACGAAGTACTGCACGGGCTACGGTGTGCATGGGCCTTGAAAGCATTTCACTTCGAAGTAAAAGAAGCCAGTCACAACAGACCATATTGTGTAAGACCATTAATATGAAAGATCCAGAATAGGCAGGTCCACAGAGACACCACAAGTTGTGATTGCGAGGTGCTGGGGGAAGGGAGAAATGAGGAGTGACTGCTGATAGGTATGGGGTTTATTTTGAGGGTGATCAAAATGTTGTAAAATTAGTATTGAGTATACATTAGTATATACCACATAAAGTAGTATTGAATATACTAAAATCACTGATTTGTACATTTTACAAGGATAAATTTTAAAGAATGTGAATGATCTCTCAGTAGGGCTATTATTTAAAAAATTCAGGACAGACCAGGTAAATCTCTAGTTTCATAGTTTTGTGGAAGAGTTGTCTTGTGCTGAACTTGGAAGGCAAAGCAGAGGAGAAAGGACTGAATTTGCCATTCTCCATATCTGCAGTAAGCATTTTAAGAAGTATTTCCTAAGTGCCATGATAGGAGAACAGCATGATGTGAGATGTGGGATATAAGTAAAATTAAAGAGGAAACCATCATCAGTAGTTACAACACGCTAGTTACAACATGCTAGGCATGGACTGTGCTGCATGTTATGCATGGGGGTATTAGTATCATCAAACAGTCAATGAAACCGGTGCTTAGAGAGGGCAAGTCATTTGCCCAAACCCCAATAGTAGGGAAGATAGGAGGTTGGCAAGACAGGGAGACAGGGCATGGTTAAGAGGACTGGCCTAAAAGGGGACTCCTGCCTGAAGCAAACACAGATGTACAGGAAGGACTGGGCCAGTTGTCAGAGGGTTTGTGATGTGAAGGATGGTTTAGATTTGTAACCAGGACAAGTTCTTGAGCAGGAAATGACAACTGAAAAGAGATCAAGAAAATTAACCCAGGGTTGTATATAACAGCGGCTTTCAAGCTTGTCTTCCCTTAGAATCACCTGGGGAAATTAGAAGATTCCTACTGCCCAGGATTTACCTGCAGTTTCATCAGAAATTCTGGGGTGGGACCCAGGTGATTTCAACATGTAGCCAAAGTCGCCAACAACTGGAACAGGATGGCCTGTCCTAACTCACTTAATCCCAACAGTCCCCTGAGGTATTGTAACTATTCCCATTGTAGAAATGAGGAAAGGGACTCAGAGGATTATTTTTCCTTTCCAAAACCTGGACGTACCTGACTCCAGACGCCCATACCGTTTTAAGTGTATGTACTTTTCCACCAAAAGCAGCGCTTGTTCCTTATTTTTCCCTTGTGCAGAGAAGCTAACACCTTCTGGGGGGCCAGTAAATGTTTATTCCAAACAAAACAAAAAAGGGGGACGTCCCTTCACTTACTTCCCCAGCTCCCTGGGCCCACCTTGTCCAACAAACCTGGGTAAAATCTCCCACCCACCAAAGTTCACCTTCTCCCAACTAAAAAATATTTGAAGTTCCAACTGAGTACCTCCTGGGCTAGGGTAGGCAAGGATGAAAGGGACAAGGCAAACAATCCTGCCTCTGGGGAGATTTCAAGTTAGAGCCTGAGACTAAGATATAATCGATAAATCTTTGAAGGCTGTTTTGAGGACTAAATGGGTATTATGGGAAGGTGCCCGTAGCAGGCCTACCATGTGGAAAATGCTAGTCCAGTCGGTAGCTGCAGCTGCAATAAATGACTACACAGAACCAAAAAATGTGAGGCCCAAGACATTCGTGAACTCCATGTTTTACTCCTTTGCTGTCTTCCTAAGCTGCCCCCCCAACCCCGCCCACCGCTGGCAACCCCACTGGCGGGGGAGGCTGCCCTCGGGCGCAGACGCTGTCGCATGCATCCCGAGGTCCTCAGCTCTAGGTACTAAACGTGGCGTAGATGTTTCCAGAAAAAACAAAGATCAGTGTGAAAGCTACAGGTGCACGAGGGAGTGGGAAAGGGGTGAATTCCAGCAGAACTAGTTAGCCCGGCTCCTCCTCCCGGCCCAGTCTGGTCAAGCTGTGAGAGCCGGGTAAAGCCTCTGGGCCCTTTGCGCTCTCGCCCGGAGGGGGCTCTCGGGAAGACGACGTCTCCTCTCACTGTGGAACCGGCCCGGCGTACAGGGGCCACGGAGACCGGAGCCCTAGGACACAGCCCGCTCAGCCGCCCGGCGCTTACCTTCCTTGGCCCCGCGCGCTCGTCGTTACCCGGCAACGCCGGCCGGAAGGCGGAGCAGCTGCCGTCAAGCAGTGCGGCCGCAAAGCTGGACGAATGCGCAGCCGCAGAGCTCGCGGGAGCGTCAACCCCTTTGCTGAGCGCGCCTGCGCACAGCGTGAAGGCGGGTGGGCTGTGCGTACTGCTGGCCTTTTGCAGAAGGTGAGGAAAGCTAAGGCGGACAGCTCTTTGCAGCTACTGTTTTCATTTACTCCTCACAATAATCCTTAAGGATCCACTTTGCAGATGAGATCTGAACTGACTTAATTGTCACATAGTTGTGGAGTTGAAACAAGAATCCACGTCTAAAGACTTGAGTCCTCACCCATGGGAGATGGCACACCTGAGGCCACCAGACTTTATTACGTATGATTCTGGCCCGCAGGAAACGGGCCCACTGGGCTCAGCCCTGACGCTGACTTCGGCTTTCTCAGTGCATGTGTGTAATCTGCAGCACGCAGGGAATCTGTAAGGAAGCGCCCTCCTGCGGACACCTGACCAAAAGCCACTGCGTGCAGTGTCAAGGATACAGGACCCGAGTCAGTCCTGCATTGGAATCCCCACCTTACCCCTCACTGGCTGTGCGGTCTTGAGTGCATGACTTAACCTTTTTGAGCCTCACTTTCATCTACTGAAAAATGGGTGGTCAGAGTAATGCGGGATAAGCAAAACAAAAGTGTGTTGGCAAATGGAGAAGTTCTTCCTGGGCTAGTTATTTTAAAGGAGGCCTGGTAGGGAGTCCAATATATCCCTTCCCAGACACGAATCCCAGATCTACAGCGCACCTACCGGACCTGCTGAGCAGATGGGGAACGACGGGAAGGATGGCAACTAGTGCCAGAGAGATTCATGGGGCTAGGTGTGACAGGCTTTGAAATCTGCCCCTTTCCCAACTCTGTTGTCTCCAGGCCTTCCCACATGCAGTTTCCTCTGCCTGGAACATCCTTCTACCCTCAGTTGGCAGCAGTAATTCTGGTTCACCCTTTATGTTTCAGCCCAGATATCTCTTCCTCCAGGAGACTTCCTTTGCCTCCCCATGCCGGCTTGGGTAATTTTCCTCTGTGTTCCCAAAATAGTCTGATGCACACTGTGTTGTCCCAGTTCCAGGTCCTCCTCATTTGCACTGGGAGCTCTTGGTAGAAGTTGCTCAGGATGCAGCGTCCAGTGGATGTTCCGCTTGCGTGGGCCTCAAGTGCTTAGCCAAGGAGTTCACACTTCAGAAAAACCCAAATCAGAATAGCTTCCTGGTTAGAGTGATGAAAAAAAAAAAAGAACTTGAGCAAGCTTCACAGAATAGTGGTATCAGGATGGATTGGGCAGGGAAGAAAGAGCTGGAGGGAGGCTGCAACATACTGCACCAGAAAGTGAACATTTTGAGAATACTGGTTCTAGAATAAGAGGGTTTTAATAATGAAAGGGAACTCAGAGGTTGTCCAGTTCAATGTATTCAACTGGTACGAAAAAAGGTTCAGAGGCACACTGTGAGTTGCCAGAGGTGTCAGGGTAGGTCTGAGGTGGGTCTGAGACCAGTGTCTGGTCTCCTGCACCTCAGCATGGTGCTCTGGGGTCAAGGGCTTGGGATTTGCACACGGTGAGATTTCAGATGGCAGAGCACCGAGGGTCCAGAGGGAAAGCTACTCAACCAAGATACTCTTCTCCCAAGATTTTTCTCCTCAATGTGTATTTTAAGCCTTTTATAACGGTCATTTTCAAATTTACACAAAAGTATGAAAAAGAGAATTGTCTAATAAATCATTTTCACAATTTTCAACCTTTGATACCTTGTTTCTTCTACACTCTCCTACACACACTTTTATCCCAGTGCTGGAGTATTTTATAATTCCAGACAACATATAATTTCCCTGATGATATTTCAGTATGGATCTCTAATACATAAGGACTTAAATTTCATTATGTATATAATCCATATATAAATTTATTTGATTCTCATTGTTCCCAGTGGTTCCATAGTCACAAGGACGTTGGATTAGTGAATCCTGAACCATTGCTCCCAGAGGAAATACAGCGTTAGGGTCCCACCCACCTCTGGCCAAAATGTTTTCATCATCCCATCAATACATAACCTTCTTTTATGGGTGTTTCTGTTTTTAATATTTAATATCTACTGTTGGTGTGTTAACACTAAACTCACGGCTGAAAGCGCTATAACTCATGACTGAACGACGCTCATCCAACACACGTATTTTCTCCATAAGACACAGAACAGCCCTCTTGGCTCAGGGACACCAGACATCACGTTAGCCCTGTACTTGAGGGCCATTTTGAACAGTGAAATGACCAGCAGAGAGTACAATTCAAAAAATGTGGCACTAAAGAGACCACAAAAAGCACACTCGCTTATGGCATGAAAGCTGAAGCAAGACAGAGTATTTGTCTCTTGTTGACTTCATCTGGGAACATGCATATTGGGAATTCAAATTTTTCTCTGCTCTATGCATGTGCATGTCTGTGAATGACCAAGCGCTGTCAGTACAGATTTGGGCATTATAATACACGTTAGAGAGTAGGTGAATTTACAAATGTAGAATCTGCCAATAATAAGGATCGACTGTGTATACCTGTGTGTGTGTGTGTGTGTGTGTGTGTGTATATAATTCCCAATATCATTAGCCCATCTAACAAAAAGAGCAATTTATCTGCAAGATGTTATATAGAACCTTTGTGTAATTTTTGGGATGTACCTATACTAAAGAAAAAAATGTTTATCTCAAATTCAGTTTCAGCTGGGTTGCCTATGTTTCATCTGACTAGCCTAATGACAATTTATTGGTGGTTTATATGTGCCAGCCACTTTGCATCCTATCTTACTTAATTCTCACCACAGCCCAGGTGAGATGTGTTCTCACCTCTATTTCACAGCTGAGCTTCCCTTCCTCCCCCAAGTTGTCAGCTAAGAAGTAGTGGAGGCCAGATGAGGATCTGGATACACAGGACTATGGGCTTGCATTCATTTTAATCCATTATCCTGGATATGGGGGGCAGTGTGTTGACAAAACACAGTTTTAAATATGGACACACCAAAGTGACCCAATGCAAGTGGGTCAGGGAAGATGGGGAGAAGTTGAAGGGCTTGGGAGGCTTCCAGGAAGAGGGGGTTTTTGAGCTGAGGCTGGAAGGAGGCTCAACCTCAAGAGAATGGAGAGGAGGAGGGAGCCCAGTGGTCTGGGACGCTGGGCAGGCCCATGTACCAGGCGGGTGTGGGCTGGGGCGGGGAGGAGCCGGGGCTAGAGGGCAGGAGGTCGGAGCGGATGATAAGGCAGGGCGGGGCCTGACCGTGCAGGCGCGCGAATTCCAGGCATGGCATTTGGACTTTACCCCGTAGACAATGGGGAGCCACCGACGTTTCTGAACAGGGCAGGGCAGCCCCAGCTGTCGCCCCATTGTTTTTCCGTGAATGGGCCAGACCCTGCAGTATTTCAGCGCGTCCATTAGATGGCGATATTCTAGCAAATTTAAACCACCCAGCCTCTGGAGGACACCACTATCCAGCCGAGAAAACAAACTCAGGGACCCCGCAAAGCTTCCACGTGTTTACCGGCAGCATGTGCGACATAAAAATACAAGGTACATAGCCCCAAAAAAACCAAATCAGGTACACAGCCCAGCTCCACCCTGACAGTGAGACCAAATTTCGGATAATTTCACAGCTATGAAGGTGAAACTGTCCAGGGTAAGCGGGACAGGCCAGCGGCTTTGTAACAACTGTCCAGCACTTACTATCTAGCATTTAAGCCTCACAACAACCCTTCGAGGGAGGTGTTATTATTCCATTTTACAGGTGAGGAAACTGAGATGCTGAGGGGTACATTTGCTCAATTAGTTTACTGAGCTGATACCAGGCTAAGTGGCGAGGGGATAGAGTTGACAGCTGTGGTAAGGGGTGAGCTGGGCAAGCCCCCAGGTCACTGCCTTGTAGCGCCCAGAGTCCCCTGTGCAGAGGGCTGGGCATTGCCTTTAGATCTGACTATGGTTTCTAGAAAAACCTGTAGTATGGATGAGGGCTCCTGGATTCTTACCATTTGCATGATTCCCCCTGGTTTTTAGAGACAGTCTCACTTAATTCTCTCACAACAACTCAGTGATTTAGGGATTGTCATACACTCATTTTACAGGTAAGAAAACATATTCAGAGAGGTGAAATGACTTGCCCGAGGTCACTTGGGGAATAAGCAAGCAGGGGTGGACTGCATCCTAGGTATGCCTTCTCCTGCCCTGTGACTAACAACCAAACATATTTGACATGGTAGAGAAACTTGGGCATAGATACCCAAAGAGACATATACTAAGATCTTTTTTTTAAAACCAATTAAAAAAAAACAAAAAAGGAAAGGAAACAACCCAAATGACCATCCCTAGAGAAATGGACATTGCAAGGTTCACACCATGGAATACTATGCAGCAATTAAAAGGAAGGCACCAGCTCTTATATGCATATCAACATGTATAGATTCCAAAAAATACTTGGTGATAAAGGCAAGATGCAAGACAATATAAATCCTAAGATACCATTTATATAAATTGAAATACTCCAAACAATATCAAATACTGAATGTATGTATAAGATATGCTAACCCATTTAAAAATAACAAGAAGGATATGCACCAAATTCATTAGTCATCTGTGGGACTTGTAGCAGATCAGGCTTCTTTCTCTCCCTCTCTCTGGCTTCTCTTCTCCTTCCTTTTCCTTTGATCAATTTCTCTGAACTTGTGATCATGTAAACTAGTATCCGTGAGGGGGATTGCACCCTCTTTCCAGAACTGGGTGCTCCAACAGTAAACTAAAGGCAATTCTCACTGCCCATATACTGGGGCTGAAGTGACCAGCATGTAAAGTCCGAAGTGTTAACACCATTCACAAACTATCAATCAAAAAGATAAAGAGAGATAAGTTCTTATTTTTCCTCTTCCTTTACATTTGTCATATTACTCAAAATAATATGAGATACACAGAGCCTAGCACTTTCCTTACATTGGTTCATATTCTCCACTCACTATTCCTAACAACAGCTCTATTAATAAATTCTTTTAATCTTCCCATTTTGAAGGTGAGGAAAGTG